CTCTGAAAGCACCTGGCCAGAGAAAATAAAAAAATTAACGCGACCCGCCCGCGAGCCACTCCGCGATCCGCCCCGCGACCCGCTCCGCGACCCACCCGCGACCCACCCCGCGCCCAACCGCGGCCCACCCCGCGACCCGCCCCGCGAGCCACCCACGACCCACCCGTGACCAACCCCGCGACCCACCCGCGACCCCCCCGCGACCCACCACGAGACCCGCCCGCGACCCACCCACGACCCACCCCGCGACCCGCCAGCGAGCCACCCACGACCCACCCGCAATCCACCCGCGACCCGCCCGCGACCCGGCCTGCGACCCACCCGCGACCCACCCTCCGACCCACCGGAAGAAAAACTGGCGCCCGGGTTCACTACAGAACTCGTAGAAAGTTAGGCGCCTGCGGCGAGCTTCTTCAGAGCCTCACGCACTTCGGGAATCATCGCCGCCCTTTCACTATTATCCGCAACTGCGGGGTGCTACGTATATGTATGCAAACATACAAATCTGAAAAACTAAAATGGATCCAAGGCCCGCCCCCCCCCATTCTCACGCTGATGCCATCGGTCCCCCCCTTCCCCCCCCGCGCGATGCCCCTCCTTTTGCGGGCGCGGCGCGGCAGGGCATTCCCCCGCGGGCGCGCGGCGGCGGGCGCGCGCCCCCCCCCCCCCCCCTCCTCATGGAGGAGGAGGAGGAGGAGGAGGGAGGTAGAGAGGCGGAGGAGGAGGAGAAGAGGAGAAAAGGAGAGGAGGCGGAGGAGGAGGAGGATGAGGAGGAGGAGGAGGAAGAGGAAGGGGAGGAGGAGGAGAGGAGGAGGAGGAGGAGGAGGAGGAGGAGAGGAGGAGGAGGGAGGAGGAGGAGGAGGAGGAGGAGGATGGTGGAGGAGGATGCGGTGGAGGAGGAGGGGGAGGAGGAGGAGGAGGAGGAGGAGGAGGAGGACGACGACGACGACGAAGAGGAGAGGGAGGAGGAGGAGGAGGAGGAGGAGGAGGAGGAGGAGGAGGAGGAGGAGTTCTTTCCCCCACTCAGCACGCGCACCACTTTCCATCGCGCATAGTCCTCGCCAGGGCGCGCCGCCAGGCGGGCGCGTGCCCAATTTGCGAGAACGGCGGAGAAAACAGCAGCACGGCAAAAGGGAGGGGAAGCGCACTGGCCGCTGACCCACAGGCGGCTGATGCCCAGCAGGCGAGATACATCGCGCGCGAGGGCGCGGCCGCCGCCCCGCCCGTCGACGGGAGCGGCCCTCTCTTTCGAGCCGACAGGCGTCTCGCATTGCTCGACCTCCTCGGACTCCCTGCCCAGGCCCGCTTCCTCCAGCACCTCCTCAAACTATCTGTTCTTCACAGCAACAATCGGAAAGTGCAGGCCGTCGGGGCCCGCCCAGATGCCGCGGTCAACGTCGAAGAAAGGGGCGAGGGCATCGCGGCGTCGGAGTGCACGGGCAACCAGATACCAAAGCTGTCCACTTCCACCCTCGGCGTGCCATGCGCGCGAAATGGAGACACTCGGCGTCGTTCGACGCTTGCCAATTCTTTGGGGGCTGCAGAAGTTCGACCGCCAACGATCTGCAAAAGGCTTTCACTCTCCGGATAGGCCCCGAAACGTTATCTGGGAGGGTCACCCCCTGAGCTGTTCTGGAACCATCCCCCTGCACGCGGCATGCTGGCCAATGCGCTTCGGCGCAGCAAAGGGGCCTCCGCGCGCGAGGCGAGCGATCGTCACTGCCGCGGGGGCATGGCCCGGCGAGGCAGCTTCGCAAGTCGGGGCCCCCGCCGCGCAGCCGACGCCACGAACTCATCGAAGATGCCTGCTGGGGGGCGGTCTAGACTCTGACAGGCCGGGGGGGGTCGCGGATCCCACCTCCGACTGTGCCCCATGTGCGCGGGGCCGGGTTGAAGGGCCCCGCGACCAGAGCCACGGCGCCCGCGCAAGGCGCCGCGCTGCAAACTGTCCCCAGGGCCGCGCTTGCCCACCGCGAGAACCCTCGCATCTTCCGTCGGGGCAACAGTACAAATCTCCTGCCACCAGCGCCAAACTGAGGGCAGCAGGGGATAACGCATCCAGAACCTTCTTCAGATATCGCTTATACGCGCTAGTGCGACCACCTGCGCATGGCAAATGCGCATCAACAATCGCGGACCCCCGTCCAGGCCCCGAGCAGCGCAGCGCGGTCGCCCCCCATTCAACCACCTCGGTAGGAACCGCGCGCGGGCACGGAGCAACAAGGCTCTCAAAGACAAGTGTGGCAACGTCTCCAGCTGCCCCATCTCCCACGCAAGCGCCGCGAAGTCCAACTGCGCGCATTTCGGCGGCCCGCGCGGCCAAGTCCGCCCCGGAAGCATGCACTTCCTGGAAACATGCAATCTGGGACCTCTTAATCAACCTCAGTGCCTGCTGAAACCTTGGGCTCGCTCTGAGAGATCGGGAAGATGGAAGCAAGGAGACCGCCGGCGTTCCGAGCGGAGAGCTTGAGCGGGGTAGATGGACGGTAGACCCCGTCAGCAACCCCCGCCAGGGGGAGGGGGCGTGACGCTACGCTGGGCCATTTAAATTGCAGCCACCACCGCGCTCATGAAACGGGGGGCCCAGTTTAGCTCGCAGATGCCGAAGCCTCAGAACTGCTCTCAGCGAGCCCCCCTCCTCCAAGACAGCTGCTGCGCTCGCTGAAAAGGGCGAATCTCCGAGAAGTGGGCGCGAGAGCAAGGCGCACTTGCTTCGCCCTCGATCTCGGCCAAACCTGCGCTGTCCACCATCATGTTCACACTGCCAGCCGGCGGGCCACTATCAACGATTGAAATCTTCGCGACAAAAACAGGACTGGCACTCATGGCCACTATATAAATCGCCCCCCGAGCCCCGCGGATCCGACGGGCTGTTGCCGGAAGGTCTGCGCCACTGCCTGCCTCTGATTCCAGCCATAATCAAACAACTTGCGAGACGACTGAGGGGGGGTCACGGCGGACGCGGAGCCCAAGTTCCATTCCACCCTCTGGATCAGGAACGGCGAGCGGCCCTTCAGACATGCAGTTCGCGTGGAATGTGGGAGCCATTAGTGCTCGGGATATCGATGAACACCTTCGAGCTACAGTAAGAGCGTTGAGCTGTCGGGGCCCCCTTGACCGGGGTCGGCAGACCGGGGGCTGGGGCCTTGCATTTTGCAGCTGTTTCGGGCGCGCAAGCCATGGCGCCCAAGGGCCCTGTCATGCGCCCAACCCAGATGTTCAACGTGATGTCCACACCGTGCCCAATATGCCACAGGGGCGGCTCGTGGCCAGACGAACCCACGTGTGCAATAAACAAAAACCGCAATGCAGGAGAAAAATCAGCATTGCAGATTTTCAAATGTCCCGCAAAAGTGCGGCAAGAATGCAGCGCAACAAAAAAACCCTGCAATGCAGAAGAATCTGCATCGGAAAGGTCCTGCGGCGGCAGCGCGGCTTGCCTGGCCCTGGCGTGGCTCGCTGCACGCGGCTTGCGAGAAGCTCGCTTGCTTCGTAACGCAACCGAAAAAGCTGCCGTGGCAGGCGGGCTCCATTCCGGAGGCCTTATTACAAGGCATGAGAAGAAAATTCACCCCGGGTCTGCCAGCCCCGGGTCTGCGTTCCCACGAGACCTGGACGCGCGGGATGTCACAGGACAACGCAAATTTGCTCGCGATCGGGGCAACAGCCTGGCGACAAGTAGCTTCCAGAAGAGGGCGACGAAACCCTAGGACCGACAGACGAGCAAGGTATCACCTAGCTCGATGCGATGACGAACCTGCCGTCATGTGTGCTCACCATAACCAGGGGTTGCCTTTCCAGCAATGCGGGTGCGCGTGCCTCCGAAATGTGTTTCCCTCAACGCCGCTAGCTCCTCCTGCATCAATAGTCCACATCACCTCTTTCCTCATCCCTTTCTCAACAGTCTCACGATCCTGGACGGCCGCCAAGAAGGCCTTCTCCCGGATAGCACGAATAGCTTGGCAATTATCCATAATCTGCTTCGCGAGATCTGCACGAAAGGCGTGCAGACTCTGAGAATTTTCTCCGCTTGCAACATATGGCCCTGGATTATTAAAATCAGTTGGTTAATATCACTGATATTCTGACCCAATTGCTGGGCAAGCGAATCCACCTTGCACGATACAGCCTGAATGACTTTGAAAACGGCAATCCGGTTGGAGTTAGTCGTGCTAGTGCCTGGGGGGCGCGGGCAGTCGAAGCGGCCCTCACTCCCCTCGTTCTCCACTGGTCTGGTAAATATCTGCGATGTGCATGCCCACGGGATAGCAGTCCGAATGGCCTCCATGGCTGGAGGTAAGAAGCGAGTGGAAGCAAAGAGACGCGGCCGCCGAGGGTCAGGTGGCGCGGCCACGGCCCGCCCGTGGCGCCCGGCCACTCAGCGCCCGAGACAGGTTGGGAAGTTCACGAGCTGGCCTTTTGAGCCAACATGGCTATGGAGGGAGGGAGGAGGAGGAGGAGGAGAAGGAGGAGGAGAAGGAGGAGCAAGAGCAGGAGGAGGAGGAGGAGGAGAAGGAGGAGGAGGAGGAGGAGAAGGAGGAGGAGGAGAAGGAGGAAGAGAAAGAGTGAGAGATGGGAGCAAGGTAGGCAAGATAGGGCCAATAAACGAGGACGGAGGGATGAGGAGGGTGACGGAGGGAGGAGGAGAAGCAACATCGTCGTCGACGGTCTCTTCCCCGTCGTCGCCTCCCTCTGGGTGTGGCGTGGCTTTGCGGCGCATCAGGGAGCAGGAGCGGACGGTGTCTTCGTCGTCGTCGTCGTCGTCGTCGTTGTCGTCGTCGTCGTCGTCGTCATCGTCGTCCCCCTCCCTAGCGCGCGGAGCACGCCAGGGGCGGCGCCGGAGGCGCCGCCAGGGGGCCCCAGCGCCGATCCGAGAAATCCGCGCGGACCTCCGAGTTTTCATGTTCATGTCACTTTTTGTCCCGCTAGTATTTGCAGAGGTTTTGCGCATTATTCTTCGTGGCCCGAGCTGCGCGTGCGCAGCTCTTGCCGCTCGGCTCCTTCACGCTCGGGCTCCCCGCCTCGGCGAGCGAGGCCTGGCGCCAGCGCCGGGCACGTGTCCGCACATCCCCTCTCCCCCCCAGTGGCTTGGCTTAGGTCGGGCCTGTCCCCCTACCGGAGGATTTTGGACGAAAACTAAAAAATACGCAAAACATGCTCAAAAGATGCCCAAAAATACCCCAAAAAGTCCCCGGAGTATTTTCTTTTATTTTTGAACATTCCCCCTGTAGAGGGACAGGCCCGACTTAAGGCTTGGCAAGAGGCGACCCCGAGGATCTCGCCGGCGTGTGGACGTGAGCAGGGACCGACCGCCCCGGCACTCCTATAAGCCAGCCGCGACATGTTCCTAGATCCCAAAGAACGGTTCTAAGAACAAAGACAATGTTCTCAGGACGTAAGCCCGATGAATGAAAACACGACAGTCTCAGACAGAAGTGTTCTGAAAACAGTTCGTTGAAACCACAGAAGGCTCTTCGAACATCAAGCCAGGACGCTTCGCCACTGCTTGATGGATCATGGCTACCTTCCCTCAGACATTCCGAAGGAAAGGTAGCAACGAGCTTGCTTGGCAGCGCCCGCCTCTGAGATGTGGGCGCTGGAAGAAACCAAAAACCCGACGGCCGGCGCTTCGTCGTCTTCGGGCCGGTGCTCCCCCGGCCTCCGACGCCGTGGCTCTGTGGACGCCCGAAGTGGGCACGGAAAACATGGGCACAATGCCCAACAACAAACGCTGTCCCAAACCGACAGCGGCCGCTGTTGGGCAGGCGGCCTTCTGTCTTAAACGGACACAGGCCGCGGCGGCGCGGACAGCGAGCCCTGCTGCTGTTGGGCCTTGCACCCAATTTTTCCGCACCCATTCCCTGACTCCAGATCCGCCCTACTTTGGCTTTCTTTCCAACTTAAAATTGCGTCGGAAATCCACCTATAAGGAGCCGAAAAAGTAGGGCGGAAATTTCTGCACCCAACATAAAATAGGGCGAACATCCACAGAAGTAGGGCGGAAACAACAACAGAAAAATAGGGCGGAAATTGGCATCAGCGGGGCTTGAAAAGTAAGGCGGAGATTCCAAGCCCTACTTACGAATTTCCCCAAAGTAGGGCGGATCCGGAGTCAGGGTTTCGCTCGTGCAGAGTTCTGGCCACGGCGTGGCTCACAGGTGGCCCGCTTCTCACCCCGAGCCGCTCTCTCTCGACGCCCCCGTGGCTCGGCGAGGGGCCCCGGATTACCAGCCTGGAACATACCCCTATCCCGAAGCTGGGCATCGCCGCATCACAATGCCAATCTTAGGGATTCCCTTAACTTTTCAGGGCGCACCCCTAAGATTGTCATCGCCTGTTGGCGTGTCAATCTGATTGGCGGGATGCAAATGGGGGGATAAGTCCAGGGGGGGAGGCAGGCGCAACCGAGGTACAAATTGTACCTACGCCCCACGGAGAAGGTACAACTTGTACCGACGCCACCCAGACAAGGTACAGATTGTACTTTTGACAACGTCCGCGACATGTGCGAGGATGTCAATTTGTACTTGCAACCCGCAGAGAAGGTACAAACTGTACCCCAACAACACGGTACCGGATACACATCCCCCCATGTCCTGATATCCCCCCATCGCCATCCGGGATTCGTTCGAGGCCGGTGACCGGAGGCCGAGCGGGGCCGAGGACCTTCCCTCGCGGTGCTCTTCGGGGCGCGGGGCGGCCCAGGGAGGGCCGCGCACCCCCCCAAGTCGGGCGTTGCCTCCTCCTCCTCCTCCTCCTCCTCCTCCTCCTTGGGCCTAGGGTGCCCCCAAGGTCTCCAAGGAGGCCCCCGCGGCCTCTGGCCGGAGAACCCCACCACGACCCTGACTTCGGATCCGCCCTACTTTGCGGAAATTCGTAAGTAGGGCTTGGAATTTCCGCCTTACTTTTCAAGCCCCGCTGATGCCAATTTCCGCCCTACTTTTCTGTTGCTGTTTCTGTGGATTTTCGCCCCATTTTATGTTGGGTGCAGCAATTTCCGCCCTACTTTTTCGGCTCCTTATAGGTGGATTTCCGACGCAATTTTAAGTTGGGAAAAAAGCCAAATAGGGCGGATCTGGAGTCAGGGGAGGCCCTGAGGTCCCCAGGGGCCCCTGGGGAAACCAACAGGGACCGATACCGCTGCTCCCCGGACCTCTCCCCAGGGTGCGTTCTGACCGGAACGTCGAGGCGAATCCAGCGGCGCCAAGCGCCTCCCGGGAGGCCCCAAAAGGGGAAAACGGACGAGGAGGTAGAGGTATGGATACTCCAGATCTCGTAATAAAAGGGAGGGGGTCTGGACCATCTAAGACAAGCCATTTCAGACCCCCCCCCCGTGGGAGAACCCTCCAAAACATCGTCCCCAGACCCCCCCAGGCCCTCCAAGATAGCCTGAAGAGCCCCCCCCCCCGAAATGCGACCCCCCTCCCTTCATTACGAAATCTGGAGTACCTTTTCCTCTGGGGGGCACCTCGGGCCAGGGGCACCTTTCATTAGCAACCCCCAGCCGTCCACAGAACTGCTGCTCCCCGGACCTCTCCCCGGGTGCGTTCTGACCGGAACGTCGTGGCGACGAGCGCCTCCCAGGAGGCCCAAAAAGGGGACAACGGGCAAGGAGGTAGAGGTATGGATACCTCTTCCTCTGGGGGGCAACTCGGGCCAGGGGGACCTGTCATTGGCAGCCCCCAGGCGTCCACAGAAAACTGCTCGGGAGGAGACGCCGGGCCCCAGCTGAGCGGGGCGAGGGCCCCTAGGGGGCCGACGTCTCGTCGGCCAGCAGCTTGCGACGTCGGAGGAGACGGGGTCTCCAGATCTCCTCCTCCTCTTCCTCCTCCTAGTCCTCCTCCTCCTCCTCCTTATCCTCCTCCTCCTCCTCCTCCTCCTCCTCCTCCTCCTCGTCATCGGCATCATCAACATCGTGAGTCTGAAAATCCACGCCCAGCGCTCTGCCTCGTGGGCGCCCGAGCTGTGTACGGGACGAGTGGGCGACGAAAGAGAACTGGGTCTTACGCGACATGGCATGGCAAGCGACCTTGCGCCGCAGCTTGCGGGGGCCGCCAGCTCGGCACGCTTGACTGGAAACGAGGACGCTCACGCGCGACCTTGCGCTGGCAGCTTGCGCGCGAATGTCGGCGAAGACGACTTCGCTCCTCTGCGTCGCTCAAACGGGTACGATGCCCAACAGCAAATGTTGCCCAAGCAAACAGCGGCCGCTTTCGGACAGGCGCGCTCGTGCCTCGAGTGGACGAGGACCGCGGCGGCGCCGACAGCGAGCCCCGCGCAGAAGGAACAAGAACTGCGATTGTCCGCTGCGTCCGTCCGCTGCTTCCGTACTCCAGGTTTCGTAGTAAAAGGGAGGGGGTCTGGACCCTCCAAGGCAAGCCATTTCAGACCTCTCCCGTGGGAGAACCCTCCAAAACATCGTCCCCAGACCCCCCAGGCCCTCCAAGATAGCCTGGATGAGACCCCCCCGCCGAAATGAGACCCCCCTCCCTTTATTACGAAATCTGGAGTGTCCCTTGCGGTCCCCCTGATCCGCGAGATCCTCGGGGGGCACGGCGCCCAACCGGCTGCGCGCGAGAGTGACCCTTGTCGAGAGCAACCTCTGGTGCGCGAATCTCAGGGGCTCACGGAGGAGGAAGACGAGGACGAGGGGGGTCAATGTAGCCCAAATTGCAGGGATTGCGCGGGGTTCGCCCCCGCGGACCCTTGGGGTGGGTGGTGGGGAAGGGCGGGGCCACGGGAATGGGAGAGGGGAGAGGGCGGACTGGGGGCGGCGCAGGAAGCCGAGCCCGAGCACGCAGGCCATCGCGGGGGGGGGGGCGTGGAATCCGCACCACAGGCCACTCCGACGAAGGTCCTCCTCCTCCTCCTCCTCCTCCTCCTCCTCCTCCTCCTCCTCCTCCGCAGCCGACCAAGCCAGTGGACGTGTGGACAGATCTCCGGCACGCGGCCTGGATCGCGAGGTGGGTGGCCGAGAGGGCCCCGACCGTCTTGGGGTCGTCGGCCCACGGGTGCATCCGCTCCTTGAAGGCCTCGATCTTCGCCTCCGATCGGAGCAGCTCCACGAGCCCCTTTGCCAAGGGGGGGGGTAGAACATACTATAGGAGGGCACCAGCCATACACCTGCACCGATCCTGGCCAGGCCCATCCTGGGCCCAAGCTCGGTGCACATGCTCTCCTTCCCAAGCCAGGAGGGCTCAGGATGGTGGCCAAGATCGGTGCAGGTGTGCAGTTGGTGCGACAGGCGCTGGGGTCGCCGCCGCGCCGGCGCAGAGCGCGAACCTGCCGCACCGAGCCTGACACCCTTCCCTCGTGTTCGCCTCGTCGGCCTCCCGGGGAGTCCCTCGCCGCCACGGCTGAGCTCGCCTCGCAGCCCTGGTCGGGACGCACGCCGGGAGAGGTGCAGGGATGAGCCGCGGCCGCACATTGTGGCTCCCCCGCCTTGTAGTCGTTCGACTCAAACGCCTTTTCCAGCTTCTCCGCGTCGCTGCCACTGGAGAGCGCTCCTGCTCTGGCGGGCCCCGGCGCGTCGCGGCGGTCTGCCCAGTCGCTGCCACCGAAGCCTGTCAGAAGGTACCAGGCTTCTCGGATGGCATACGAGAGCACCTCTGGAATAGTCATCTCGCGCGCGGGTCTCTTCTGAGAGTTGGGGGGGCGCCCCCTTCGGTCGCTTCTCTGCAGCGAGGTGCCGGAGGCGCCGCCGCGAGAGGACGGGGCCCGGGTGCGGCTGCCCGCGGCTCGCCCTCGGCGGTTTGGGCCAGGAGCGGCGTGCAGAGGCAGAGAGGTGGGCTGCTTGGCACATGTCGACTGGTCGAGTCCGTCGGCTCCCCGCGGCCCAGGCCGGGGCGAGAAGGCGAGGGGGAGGGTGGTCCGCCACCCTCCCTCTGCTCCCTGCGCCCCCCAATCCCTGGAGGTCCAAGCCCCTTTTGCGAGCGGGGCGGCCAGGGTGGGGCGGGGGGGTATTGTGAGGCAAAGGGGTGTCGATACCGCCAGCCCTTGGACCGCCTGCCCGGCTTCTGCGACCCTCCCCAGATCACTTGCCGGGCCCTGGAGAAACTCACATTGGCTCCAGATGGGGTGGTCCGGAAACCCTCAGACCAAAGATGTTGCCATCTGTGGTGGTTGGGGCACAATTTGTCCTTCCGCGGGCATTCCGGCGGTTTCCGCCAGCGGAGCCGCCCCCGTTTTACTTCCGCAGCCTTCAACCAGCCTTCCGCCGCCTTCAGCCGAGGACAAGCTATCCACTCATTTGATCCTCGAAGGAAAGGGCCTGTCTGGAACGCCTCAGATGGTCTCCTGATTGCCCTGGATGCCACCAGACAGGCCAAGATGGCGGAGTGCCAAAGACAAAGACACAACACGCAGTCTGAATCCGCAGATCTACATGTGCCATGTCTGGTAATCTCCTCTTCCAGTTCCAAGATGGACTCACGACAAACGTCCGAGTCCTCCCAGCGAGTCTACGAGGCCACCGAGAGGTCCTGAGGCATCCTACGAGGCCTGCAAGATAGCCCCAAGGAGAGCCCAAGCGGGTCCCAGCACGAACCATGAACGGCCCAAGCATTACGTACCCCATCTCGACCCAACACGATCCCCTGGCATTGAGATAATTGGCCAATGCTTCTCGCTCCCGTCTAGGTGTCCTCCATCCCTCTTCCTGACGCTGCGTTTCTAGGCAGCAGCGCACATTGGTGGCAAGCGTAGCGGATCAGACAAGGAGCAGCAACCATGCAAGAGAGTCAATTGAGGATACCGCAGCGACCTCCCGATATCTCACTGCTGTTGCTGTTCGCCCTCCTCCTCCTCCTCCTCCTCCTGCTCCTCCCCCTCCTCTCTCCACTGCCCCTCCTTCCTCCCTCTCTCGATCTTCATTTTCAATCTCTCCCTGCTCCTCTTGCAGCGCATGCGTGCAGTACGCACAGACGACAAGAAGTCTTGCGAGCAGAAGATCGGAGCAAATTATTTGTCGACCCTGAACTTCGTAAGGTGACCAAAAATTCTGCGGGCCCATCGGGCGCAAGATATTATCTTAGGCACCCGTTGGCAAACAACATTCGTACTTAGCGTGTTTAATGTATTCCGTAATCTCGCCGAGATGACAACAATTGGACAAACGCTCGTTTTAGATTGCCTCCACTTTGAGGCTGTCCTGGTGAACTTCTTCAGTGCGACGTGTTGCTATTTGTTTGTGAATCTCTCTGGGCTCGTTTCTGCACCGTGGGGGCTTTTTCAGGGCGTTTTGGCTGCATATTGGTGGTGATGGTCGTTGCCTTGGGGGAGGGCTCTTGGGTTCACTTCGGTTTCCCCATCTTGGGACTCTCATGGGACCCATTTGCGGCATTTGGACCGTCTTGAATACCTCGTGGACCGTCTTGAAGCTCTTAGGGCCATGCAGGTGCTCTCCCGGGCTGGTCGGCGAAGGACTCTCGGGATGCCGTGGGGGTTCAGGAGCCAGGACAAGCAGAAACCAGGAGCCAAAATCAGCAATCGGATCCCAGGAACAAAAGCACCATTTCCGGCAGCAGGGCACTCTCAAGGATGCAATCTTGCGACACTCTTGGGACGTCTTAGGGGCCTCTTGAGAGCCATGCGCGTTCTAGTTGGAGGGGGGCTTCTTGATTAAATTCGGTGTCCCCTTATTGTGGGATTAGCATGGAGGGCCGTCTTCGGAACCTCGTCTTGAGGTTCTCTTGGGTCGCCTTGGGGCCGTTCTGGGACTCGCTTGGGCTGGTCTGGGAGACCTCCCAGGCAGTCGTGGGGTTTCAGGAGACAGGAAAAGCGAGAACTCGAAAGGTACGCTCAAGCCTCGAGAAGATGTGACTCACGGCCCTAAAACGCTCTGCCGAAGGTGTCATTGTTGCGGCACTTTGTGGGAGTCTGGGGGCCTCACGGGCCGTGCTCAGGCGACCTTGGACTGTGCTGAGGGTGTCGGTGGCCGCCTTGGGCCGTCCACGTAAACTACTCGGATCCCTGTTGCTTCTGCACGGGGAACGTCGCACCTCCAGCGGTTGCGAAGAAGGGCCTCATCGCTCGCGGCAAACTCAGGTCCAGTCCTCTCCCCTCCCCAGCTCCTCTCCTTCCCCTCTTCTGTGCCCGCATACTCGTTGCCTTGTGTGGACGGTACGGCTTCATGTCTTGAGGGCTGAGCGCAGCAGCAGGAGGCGGAGGAGGACGAGGAGGACCGAGGAGGAGGACGAGAAGGGGAGTGGGGGGTGCCACGCGGGGCACAATCGAAAAAACAAATTCAAGCTATGATCCACAGGGAGCCTGAGCGCCCCGCCTATGCCAAGCTGAAGCGGCCGTAGCGGCTTCTCCTGGACCAGGCAAGAGGGAGGAGGAGGAGGACGCAGAGATCGAAGCAGGTAGCGCTGCGACAGTCAGGGGGGGAAGCATTTGACACTTCCTGGTCCAGACTGAAGCCTCATTTCTTGCGGCTGCCGAACTGGAAGAAGAAGCCGCCTGCGATGATGAAAGCCCCGGCCACCCAATTTCCGAGCGTGACTGGGAGAAGGTTCTGCATGAAGGTCTGCATGTATGTCAGTGGCGAGCCTGCGAGGAGGCCCGCCGGCAAGATGAACATGTTCGCGACGGAGTGCTCGAAACCGATGCCCACGAACATGGAAATGGGGAACCAAATTCCGACCATCTTGCCCGTGAGGTCCTTCGCCTGGGTGCACAGGAAGACGGCCATGCACACCAGCCAGTTGCACAAGACGGCCTTCACGATTGTCTGTCCGAGCGTGCCGCCGCACTTCTTGGCCACTGTCGCCACAGCCATGGAGCCTGCGCCACCGGTCAGGAGGCCGGTGTACCAGGCCGCAACAGCCAGTGCTCCGCAACCGATCACGTTGCCAACCCAGGAGTAGACGAAGCTCCTTAGCATATCCTTGATCTTCACCTTGCCCTCGAGGAACGCACACGACACTGTGGCAGTGTTGCCGGTGAACAGCTGACAGCCCGACTGCAGCACCAGCAGCAGGTTCACTGGGAACAGGGCCGCGAAGATGAATTTCTGGGCGCCAAGGGTGGCCGACGGGCCAAGGTTCCCGGCCACGGTCAGAGAGAGCAGGCCGGCCATGCCGACATAGGCGCCGCCCATGATCGAGCTGTGCATCAGCTTCCCGAGCGGCATGTTTGCGTTGGCAACGCCCTTGTCCACCAGGGCCTCTGGATGAAGACCAGGCGGCACAAACAGAAACTTTCGGAGGTACGCGCGGAGTTCTTGGGGTCGGCGCTGGACACCCCTCCCCAGCGCGCGGAGAGCGCTACAGGCGGGCAGGATATCATCGTGCCTGTCTTTTCACTCTCTGTGCTGCATGCTCTTCTTCGGCACCCTCGCACCAGCCTTCATGGTCTGAGCGGGCTCCCCCTCTTTCCTTCCTCCACCCTTTTCCTGTTCGCTTCTGTGCCCAACTCGCTTCCGGTGCATCCCAACGCTCGCTGACCAGCCCCTGACCGTCATTTACCACTTTGCGCCCGCGGAATTAAACAAACAAACATTGTGTTGGACGCCCGAGATGTGTACGGAAAAAATGGGCACAATGCCCAACAACGAATGTTGTCCCACAAACCAACAGCGGCCGCTGCTGGGCAGGCGGCCTTCCGTCTCGAATGGACACAGGCCCCGGCGGCGCGGACAGCGAGTCCTGCTCAAAATGAACAGGACCTGCTGTTGTTGGGCATCGTACCAATTATTCCCGTACCCATTCCGTTCGTGCCGAATTGTTTTCTGTCGTCGAGCCTCGTAGGTCTCCTTGGGCGAGACGACCAGCGCGACCTCGTCGCTGCCGGCCCTCCGCGCACCCCCCGCGGGCCGGCGGGTCGCGAGCAGCGCGGCTCCGCAAAGCGCGGGCGCCAGGAGCGCCCCGGCCGCCCCGAGCGCATCTGCGCCTGGCGTCTCCTGCTGGGCGACGAGGCCGATAGTTACTCCTCCTTGTTCCTCCTCCTCCTCATCCTCCTCCTCCGTCTCCTGCTGCGCGACGAGGGAGACGAGGATGGGCAGAACCCCCTTTAGCAAAACCGTGGTCTAGTGAAAACGACCTCGGGCCCAAATCTGAACGGGCGCACGCCTGAAAAATGCCAGCCGCGGCGCCCCCTCGAGAACCGAAAACAGAGAATTCACTATCGACGTGTCATGGTGGGGGTTCTATGTGTGTCCTTGGGCCCCTTGAACCCGAGGGGCACGAGGGGCGAGCGCGCTCGGCGGTCTGGGTCGCAGGGCCCTCGTCCCCGCGGGGGTGGGTGGGAGGTGCAAGCCGGGGGAGCAAGAAGTTGTGATGGCGGGCCGCGCCATGGCACCGCTCTCGTCTTGGCAAAAGGGGGAGGAGGAGGAGGAGGAGGAGGAGGAGGAGGAGGAGGAGGAGGAGGAGGAGGCCCGGAGGTCGAAGCCCTCCAGGCATGGCCGCGGAGCCCGCTCGGCCAGGTGGGCGGGCGACGCCTGGAGCGGTGCCCGGCGGCGGCCCCAGAGGGGGCCTGGCCTTCAGTCGGGGGATTGTCGACCAGAAAAAAAAATACCACAACAAATACCACAGCAGTCCCCTGACTATTGTTTGACAATTTTTGACTACTGTTTGTCTACAGGGGGATTTTCGACGAGAAAAAAAAATACCCCCAAAAAATAGCCCCTAAAACGGTCAAAGATACTCAGAAAAGCAGTCCCCAGACTAGTGTTTGACTATGTTTGAGCATTCCTCCTGTAGAAGGACGAGCCCGACTGAAGCCTGGCCAGTTCACAAACGTCCGACGACATGATTTTCAAATCCGGGCCCCGCGGACCTCCCGACCACTTCCCCGGGGCAATTTCTTGAGCAGGGACCGACCGTCCTGGCAATTCTGTAGGCCTACCACGAAATGCTCTTAGAACTTAGAACCCAAACATGTTTTAATTCGCTGGCCCAACGGGCCAGAGGCGTGCTAAGATCTATGGTAGCTGGTTAACAATATTCTACTTCGCGCGCGCGGGGCGGCCCCTGGGGGTCTCCAGGCGAAAAGTACCCCGGCAAGGTCCCTGCAAGGTCCCAGCAGGTCCGGGTCAGAGATGCCGGACCGGGCAATTTCTCGACACCCCTCACGAGGATCGTGGCCTCCGAGGGGGGAGCCGCATTCGACTACCCCCCCTCCCGCCCCAAGAGGCCCCCAAGAGCCCCCCAAAAGGCCCTGCAGGCCCCCAAGACGCCGCCAAGGAGCCGCAAGAGACTCCCAAGAGGTCCCCAAGAGGCCCCCAAGAGGCCCTAAGAGGGCTCCAGGGCTGGCGGAATGAGCGAAGCGATTAAATAACAAAAACAATGCTCTCAGAACATAAAGCCCGATTTGTTAAAGCAAGGCAGTCCCAGCGAGAAATGTTGTAAGAACATTCCGTGGTAACCACAACCGATTCTTAGAGCATCGTTTGGAAGACCTGTAGGCACGCCGGGACGCTTCGCCACTGCTTGAGTTTCTCCTTCTGGATGCGTTCTTGATGGCCCCGGAATCTGGAAAAGCAGGCCAGGGTCGGCAAACTCATGCTGTCGGAGCTGGAGTGGTGTGGGGGCCCTGCTCCAGAACATGAACAGAGCTGCGGACGGATCTGCCCTTTGACCTTGTACTGCGCCGAACGCAACGGCCGCATCTTTGAACGATGCATTCACACCGAATATATATATATATATATATATACACACTCTCTATATATATATACGCGTTTGTACATAATATATACACTCTCTCTATATATATATATATATATATACACACTCTCTCTCACTCTCTCTATATATAATATATATTTGTACATATACGCGTTTTTACATAATAAAAAAAACTGCATCGAAGGTGTCTGTAGACGCCTGTGGCCAGAAGGTGATAACTGCAATCATGTGGCATCGGCCCCAGAGGTGTGTCCTCCTAGCAGCTAAGCGAACTCGCCATCCAACGCACACAGACCTCGCCCCCCTCTCCTGCCCCGCTGCCGCGGGGGCCCCGCGCCGCAGGGCCCGGGAGGCGGGCGCCGGGGCCGCGGCGAAGGCGGGGGCGCGGCCGGCGAGGCCGCAGAGCGCCGCGAGGGCGGCAGCGGCGGCGGCCAGCGTCGGGAGCAAGGGGCTGGCGGCGCGTGGCGGCATGCCGGAAGCCGGGTGCGCGACGGGCCGGGGCCCAGACCTCCCATGCGCTTGTCTGCAGGCGCTATAGCCGTGCCAGGCGGCATGTATGCGGGCGGGCGGCGGCTGCCGCTCCTCAGCGTGGAGGGTCTGCCCACGACGCGGCTGGTCTCCCAGCAACCGGCACTGCCGCGGTGCACGGGGGGGCCGCCTCTGCGACCTCCCTCGGCATCCAGCCGACCCAGCGTGTGAGCTCCAGAGGGCGTGGGCTCGAGCTTCGCTGGAGCTCCGCTCTGCAAGGGGCAGGGAGCATTTGTCGATTCTCGGCGGCAGCGGGCGTCATTGGGGGGGGGCAGGACGTAACGCCCCCCCCCCCCGCCTGTGTGCCAAACGCACTGCGGCAGCGGATAGCTGGGGACGCACTGCGGGGGGGGGGGGGGGGCGTCACGTCATGGGGGGGGAGGGGGGGGGGCCGAACGCGCGTCATGGCCCAGAATGCGTGTTCTTCTACGAAACAAGTCGGGAGACCCAAACCCCCGACGTCGTGAATTTTTCATGACGTCGACCCCCAGCTGTCTGGACCCATTCCCCGGGACCGGCTTTTCATCCTGAATCGTTTTTTGACGGTCCCGAGGCCCGGCAAGGGCCCCCAGAGGCTGAAAATGACGAAAAACCTCCCGTCGTGATTTTTTCACTACTCGAGGGGGTCTGGCCCGGCGGCTCGCGGCGATATCTGCCGAGGCCGGGCCTGCGGCGCGCGCTGGGGGGCCCAGGAGCCCCCCGGCGCACGGGGCAGACGCCGGCCGAAGGTGTGTGTGTGTGTGCTTCGCCGCGCGCTGCCCCGCGGTCGGGGCCCTCGCCCGCCCGCGGTCGGGGCTCCTCCTCTGAGCATTCTCCTCCTCCTCCTCCTCCTCCTCCTCCTCCTCCTCCTCCTCCTCCTCCTGTTCCTCCCCATCCCCTTTCTCCTCCTCCTCCTCCTCCTCCTCCTCCTCCTCCTCCTCCTCCTCCCCTCCTCCTCCCCCTCCTCCTCCTCCTCCTCCCTCCTCCTCCTCTCCTCCTCCCTCTCCTCCTCCTCCTCCTCCTCCTCCTCCTCCCTCCTCCTCCTCTCCTCCTCCCTCCTCTCCTCCTCCTCCTCCTCCTCCTCTCTCCTCCTCCTCCTCCTCCTCCTCCTCCTCCTCCTCCTCCTCCTCCTCCTCCTCCTCCTCCTCCTCCTCCTCCTCCTCCTCCTCCTCTGGTATCCTCTGGTATCCTACCAAGCGAGTCCAGCTCTGCCAAGACCCGCTCACCTGCTCAGTGGCAGGACCCGCCTCCGAAGTCAAGGCCAAGACACCTCAGAACCTCGGGGCACCAAAAATTTCGGGCGCGGCACCGCCACCTAGGGCTGGCGGTGCCCTCAAAACTTTAAATTTCGGCTCCCTCGACCGCTTTCGGACCAGGGGCCGAACCACGGGCGAGCGGAAACGGGTGCCCCCAGAAGACGTCGCCCTGGGGTTCCCGACCAGCACGGAGACGGTCCAGGGCGATTTTCCCCAGACGGCTCCTCCTCCTCCTCCTCCTCGTCGGGGTGGAGGGCTCGGGGTGAGATCCAGATGGGCTCCCTGCACCTCCAAAAGATCAGTCCGAATCGTGACTCGCCCTTTGCAGATGCAGACCTCGAACATCCATTGTGGAGGGCTCAGGGTGATATCCAGATGGGCTCCCTGCACCTCCAAAAGATCAGTCCCGACTTGTTGTGACTCGCCCTTTGCAGATGCAGACCTCGAACAAATCAATCGAGACGGCATTTCAGATGTCACCCTTTGCCCTCCGCCCACAAGAAAAGGCTTGGTTCCTTGGGCCCTGAGATCCGACGTCGCAAGACAATAATTACACACACATGGCTTCAGATCACGACGGGGCGCCTATAGACCATCTCTCTGCACCATGCTTCGACCCTGATCGATGTGTGCTGGTCCTGGGGCCCGCAGATTGGCATAAACGCAGGGCTCCAACAAAAAAACTGAGAAGCCAGGATTTCTGGGGGGCCCTGTGCCAACAAGAACGAGACATTGGATGTCTGGGGCCTGGGCGCGGGCGTGGCCGATGCCGAGAGGGGGGCCTCTTGGGTACGGAGCCAAAACGGCTGCGGCAAGGTTCGGAGGCCATCCCGAGCCTCTGCGGGAGCGCCCCCGGCGAGCTCAAGTCAGGGGGCCTGCAGGACGTGCTGCCACGCCCACATGGAGGGTCTGGTGGCCCGCTAGCCTTCAAGGCCCAAGACCCTGGCCCCCCGAAGATATGCATGGGAACTTGGGAGGTGCGATCAACGCGCAGCGGAGTCCGCAAGGAGTCTCTCTCTCTCTCTCTCTGTCTCTCTCCCTCCTCCTGCTCTCTCAACCTCTCTCCCTCTCTCTCTCTCTCTCTCTTTCCCCCCCTCCCTCTCTCTCTCTCTCTCTCCCTCTTTCTCTATCTCTCTTCTCGCTTGTCATGGGGTCGCGCACGATTCCCCCCCTAAGGGCATCTGGCGTCCCCCACGGAGAAGCGGCCACGCATGAGGACACGCAGAGAGAGAGAGAGAGAGAGGAAGAGAGAGAGAGGGGGGGAGGAGAGAGAGAGGTAGGGAAAATAACAAAAAAGAGAAAGAGAGAGAGAGAGGACAGGACTGGTCCTCTCTCTCTCTCTCGTTTTATCTCTTTCTCTCTCTCTCTCTCTTCCCTCCTCCTGCTCCTGCTCCTGCTCCACCCCCCTCGATAAAAACCGGGCGGAGGCTACTGAGATACGCGGCAGCGCGCGCGCGCCTTCCAGCCTCAGGGGGTACAGCGCCATGGCGAAGTTCGCCCGGCCCCCGTCCGAGTTGGCCTGGGGCACCTCGGGTGTCGGTCGGACTCGGCATTGCAGCAATATGCGCGCCGCCTTGCTGAAAGGCTCTCGCCCCCAGAGCCCAGGGGGGCATCATTGTAGCAACCGCCACCGGCGGCCCAGGCGGCCCAACGGGCCAACGGCCCAGCGGCCCAGGCATCATTGTAGCCCTGAGTCCCAGGCGGCCCAGGCGGCCCAACGCACAGAAACGAGAGGGCGGCGGATGGCGCGGAGCGCTGGAAACGGTTGCGCCCCACGCAACGAAAAATGCAGCCGGCCTGGAGAGGATGCGAAAGAGAGCACAACCTCGGGGGGAGGAGGGAGGAGGTGCGTGTGTGTGTGTGTGTGTGTGTGTGAGGCACAAGTGATGGCGATGACGAGCATCCCACACCAACGGCAGAAAGTTCTGGAAAGTTCTGCTCCAGAACGCTGAGCCCGATTCACTTGCTGGTGGCAACGAGATCATGCTAAGGCTTGTGAACGCCCCGTGCTCACCGATTTGGATGTGATCGCAGTTAGAACGCACTTGACGGATCAACAACGCAGCAATGTCATCGCGCAATCCCAGCACACCTCAACCATATCATCGCACACGCCCCGCTCTTGAGACGACTTCAGGATTGGATGGTGTCTGGTGCGATCTGGTGCGATAATACGCTACAAGAGCATGGACTGATACACATACGGAGCCTACCCCTGCTCGACTGAGAAATTCGTTAGGCTACACCTGAATGGGCACGCGACTTGCCACATGCAACGTACCAGAAGATTATCCCGGCAACTTTGGAATATATACCTGTCCAAAGACCTACGGCCCGATGTGGGTGGCGCTCTTCATATAGACCAGGGCTCTGCGAATCAACCCTGTGAGGAAATAGTGGGACCATCATGCCCCTGGTGTCCGCGACGTCAACGCGAGGCTTGAGCCACGCTTGCCATTTCTACACGACACACCCCGGCTGAAACAGCCTATGTACATGCAGTGCTCGCGTGGCCCAGGTGGTTGAACAACGTAGACAGCCATGCACATCAGCGACACATGGCTATATCATCACCCCGGGCACCCATCAGCCAGACACGCTCGCCAAATTC